AATTTTGTATTTAGAGCAGTGTCAGGGCAGCATTTGCAGTAAAGAAGACATGGAGGTGCATAAAATGAGATGAGATTATTATATGTTCTGTTTGGAAAATATATGTAAAAACTAATAAAAAATGTATATTAAAAAAAGAAGAAGACAGGGAGGTAGAGTACAGGCTCACAATGGGAAAAAGCAATGTTCAGTTGATGGGCACTGGTGATGATTTTTATTTTAGCGAGTAAGAACATTTGTGGAAATAATAGCAATGCTACCCTTTGTGCTGGATTACTAAAAAAAAACCACACACACAAAAACCCACTGAATTCAAATTTCAAGTTGACACCGTTCCTCAATAGCTTTCAGCTACTGTCCTGAAAATAATTACGCTCAGTCTTTTGTTCCTAATTTGAATCAAGGTTTTCAATGAATGGGTTATTGCTGAGTTTATTCCAATAAATTAACGACAAGCATTTTAAACATTATTTCTCAGACTCTCAGACAGCTGCAAAGTATGCTCCCTATGGTTCTTTCTGTTCATATTCATTACATGATAAATGCTAACCCCTAATTCAAGAGTCAAGGAGAATGTAATGTAAACCCATGAAATGACTGTCTAAATTGGCATATTCCTGAAATCTTGGAGGTCTGGTTTTTATGAATTATTGACTGAGAATCCAATCCAAAGCACACTTGCTTGGGAGTAAGCCCCAGTCAACTCAGAAGAATTTATTTCTGAGTAATGCTTAGGGACGTAGGTGGCGCTGTGGGTTAAACCACAGAGCCTAGGACTTGCTGATCAGAAGGTCGGCGGTTCAAATCCCCGCAACAGGGTGAGCTCCCGTTGCTCAGTCCCTGCTCCTGCCAACCTAGCAGTTCGAAAGCACGCCAAAAGTGCAAGCAGATAAATAGGTACCGCTCCAGCGGGAAGGTAAATGGCGTTTCCGTGCGCTGCTCTGGTTCGCCAGAAGTGGCTTAGTCAATGCTGGCCACATGACCCGGAAGCTGTACGCCGGCTCCCTCGGCCAATAAAGCGAGATGAGCGCTGCAACCCCAGAGTCGGCCGCGACTGGACCTAATGGTCAGGGGTCCCTTTACCTTTAATGCTCATGGCTGGGTTGTGAGGCTATGACCCTAAGCATATTTACTAGGGTGCAAGTCTAACTGAATGCAGTGCGTTCCAAGCAAACTCAGAAATGCAGTGTAAAAACATTAAAACTGAAGCTTTGTGACATTATTTATCCGAAGTATGTCCTCGGCCACAACATCCATCTGTCATGGATGCTCTAGCTGAGACTCCTGCATAACAGGGGGTGACTAAAAGACCTTTGGGTCCCCTCTATGATATAAAGGATAAGTTAAGAATCCAACATTGGTGCCCCAAGGCAGCCACCCAGACATAGCGGTCAACTTTTCACTTTTCCTGCGAGGAATCCTATTCGGAATAAGGGAATTTCCTTATCT